TCAGAATCCTCTGAATTGCAGAGTGAGAACGCGAGGCTCGTCGGTTGGGAATGAAAGGGTGTCCGGGGGAATGAGAGGTTTCTGTTCTTCAGGGTTTTGTTCAGAGGTTTTGCTGATTTCTCTTTCAACCGTTAGGATCCGGCCACGTGGCAACAACCCATCAATCGAAGGGCTGAAATTTAGAAGAGAACTAGTATTTTAGCCCGTGGCATGCACGGGGTGGAAAGAATTTATTATCGATTCTAAATTTTTTCAATGCAATATATTTTTTGGAATCAAGTAAATATATTTCTAACACGATTTTTAATCAATAAACAACAATACTAAAGTAGAATATATAATATTTGAGGAATTAAAAGTGTACTCTAGAAAGTCGTTCTAATTCTAATTTTTCTAAAAGACTCTAGGCTACAAAACATTTTTGGTATGGTTGTAAGGATTCCATTGTCATCTAGAACTAATACTTTTAATTAAATATTTGTGTTCACTCGTGAAACAGTAACATAAAGTTGATCATGACTAAATACTGAATTGGTTAAATATAAAACCCTAGAGTATAACAAAAGACAATGTTTGACATTGACTTTTGTTAATAGTCTTAGCAAAACATAAGACTATTGAGAATTATCTTTTCTAGAACTTCAAGGGTAGTCCTGAATTAGATGGTACCAAATTTATTCGAGATATGTAAACCTTTTTCGCAAATCGATTTCCCAAAACCACAATGGCATTGATAATGTTCTTTTGCAGCTCATCAACAATTAATATTCCACCATTACACAATCTAGATGTTTAATTGGTCAATATTTTTCAATAACATAATTAGTACCTCCATTTTAAAACTATTTTATGGTTTTGCATCCATTAACATTTGATTCCATTCAAAAACTAACTGTTACTCAATCATCTTCAACACCTACATTTGAATATGCTTGGCAAGAAGAAACTGAACTTAAGTACTCTTTATCTCCTTCTAGAATAGGATTGGACAACTTCATTTACCATTCAACAGCCTCGAGGGCGGGTGTCAATAGTGCATTATTCTATAACAGATTTAGTTTTCATGTTCTCTAATAGATTTGGATAAAAGAAGTCCACTATACTCTTGAGAAGGTATTTGTGTCAAGAATCAAGAATTCAGACAGGATTTCAACGTCAACAATTTCATCAATTTTGGTTAACTAATTCTTAAAACATTACTTGATGACATGACTTGCTGACATGTCAAAAAATACTCAATAGACATGCCACATGTCACAATTCTAAAAGCCCAACTCTCAAATTTTATATATAAAGATAAAGATTTAAAGTAAAAATAAATATTCACATGTAATTTCTTTTAGTCTTACCAATCTATACATTCTTAGAATAAAATTTTTTTTGAATTATTATTATTTGAATCTAAGTTCTTTTTTTCAATTTCAAAATATATTATTTAATTTAAATACTTTCCAACTATGAATTAAGATTTAAAAGCTTTTAAACGCGATTATGATGAGAAATTTATGTGTAACAAATACGAAAATTAATTTCCATAGAATAAGAGGGTGTTTGGGAGTGCACTGCTTTTCAGAATTTAGCTTATGCTTTGAAGGGAAGTAATTTTACTCTGTTTGGCATGTCAGCTTCTTCTTTTCTCCACCATTATTTTGTACATATAACACCGTTTTAATGAAGTAGTAATGAGGTGTTTTTGCTTTCAGCTTTTGTTAAAATCACTTTATCCATGAATTAATCACTACCAAACACCATCTAAGTGTTTTTGTTAACTAATTGCTTAAATATTACTTCATGACATGACATGCTGACATGTCAAAAAAATTGCGTGATTGATACACTTCCGTTGATGACATGGCTGATGAGTCGTTTAAATTTTTCAAAATAAAAATTCCTTAAACATCTAGCCATCCATTGGATAGGGTCCTTTAGATCCGAAATAATTAAGAAATCACAATTGTTGCACTTCCTTTGATGACATGGAAGATGAGTTGTTTAAAATTTTGTCCAGTCAACATGCTAAATGTCATCATTCTGGAAGGTGAACTCACAAATTTTATATATAAAGGATAAAGGATAAGACGGTTTCAGCATGTTATCCCCATTATTTTTTTTTATTAAATCAGTTCATATCAAATAAGATCAAAAATAATTTTAAATATAATTATATTCAGATCATACCAAATTATATTAGATCAAATTTTATTAAGGCCGTTCAGATCAAGAGAACAAACACAAGTATTTTCTCTTTGTTTTTCTTGTTCATGTCAATTGGGGAAAGTGTATCATTATTCATATACACAAGGACTAAGATAGTTGGGTAGTTATTTGGACTTAGATCTTTTTTGCTAAGGTTGTTTGTTTGTTTTGACTTTAATTGCTCTTTGATTTTTTAAACATTGTACATGTTTCTCTTCTTGCCAAAGTTGAGCGCCTCTTGAAAAGAGCCTCTCTACTTTTATGTAGAGGTAAGGTCCGCTTAAAGACACCCTCCCCCACCATACTTTTGTGGGACAATAGTGGATTGTTGTTTGTGAGAAAGACTAAACTATAACTAAAACAGTGAAAATAAGTCAAAATAGACTTTTATGTTTTTATTCCCAACATAAGACTTAAAATGTATTTACATTACCAAATATAGTCATGGACATTACTAAAAAAATATGGTAATGTGCACATGTACAGTGTTACATTACCACATTGTGAAATCCTATTTTAGAAAAAAACATGAAAGTCTTATTTTGGTATTTTTTTACTGTGTTTTAGTCCTATTTTGGGTGATTTTTATTGTTGTTTTTTTATATATTTTCTCTCCCTCTGATACCTGATTCATTACTACCAGTTGCATATTCTGTCCGTCCTCCATAAATCTTCTCAAATTCATTTTTTTTGTAATTTTATGGAGAGTAGAAAAAATGAAAGTTTACTAAAATACTTTTAATGAAAATGGGTGGATGATATTAAATAAGGTGAGAGTGGTGTAATAAATAAAGTGATGATAGTTGTAGGATTTTAAATGTCAAAAAAGTGATATGGACGATCTTTCCTGGGTAAAAAAAGGGGCATTTGAGAAAATCAGTGGCAGACGGAAGGAGTATAATATTTATCACATAATTCACCAATCATTTACAGATAAAACGTGTATAAAATAGGTAAACTTAATAATACGAAGTGATGTGAACCTCTCCCGTGCTAGAGTAATAAATGGGTGGACCTGAGATGTGTCCGGAATCCCATATAGGGGTCCATGATATTATGAGAATATGTTCATTTGAGATGATGAAGATTCTGCTAGAGGCCTAACCCAAACCAGGTCCATAAAAAAGGATTTGGGGCTGGGTAATATAAGAGGACGCTAGGAAGTATGGGTTGGAGAAAATATATGGCCCAGCACAAGAGAAAACCAAGTCCTTAAGAAGCAACATGGCCCATCCCCTTGAGATTAGGGTAGTGCCTCCTTTAAGCAAGTTAACAAATGCGTCCTTGTCAAGATTCGAGACAAAAGAGACATAGGAATACTTTTTTGTTTGTCCTTAAGCCAATAACCTGAAGTGGAAGGAAAGATCAAGGGAGGAGAATGAAATCTCAGTAGCTCATACCCAACCACCATAGGATAAGTTGATAAGATGGTGGTTGGGGAGGACTCCTATAAAAGGTATCAGCACCTTGAGGGGAATCTTGTAATAGAGAAAGAGAGAGACTAAATGAGAGAGAGAGAGAGTAATAAAAGAATATTCCGATATCCTTAAAAATATTCCAATCATAAGACAGATGGTTTAGAGAAGAGGTCGTTGGTTTAAGCCCATTTCCTTTGTGCAATCCATTCTTACTATTTACTTATCCCTATATCCGGACTTTATCACTGTTATAAGGCTTAGACCATTGATAATGTAATACCCCGAAACCCGAGACCTATCAAGATTAATTAATTTATAATAATTAATTAACTAAAGAGACAGAATTGGTGTAATTTCGAAATATTCTTCGTTTGACAAAAAGAATTATACCGTTGTATAGGGTTCGACAGAATGAATCCAATGGCGCAAATGGATTTGGATTTATAACTCGTGGACCTAAAAAGTACCTTTTAGTCCAGGTACGTTAAGTAAATACGGAGCCCAAAACCCTAAACATGTTTTTATCACCCTACACGAGGAGCTATTACAAATAATAGATATCGCACATTCGACCCTAGAATCAACAAGCTTGACATCATCTCCTTGAACTAGTTGAGCTACCCATGCGGGCTACTAGATTTCTTTGGGGAGTTTTGGGCTATATACTTTCTCTCCCAAAAAAAGACTCATTATTTTCTTTTTTTAAAGTGTCCTAAAAAGAGACTTTTCTTTCCTTTCAAGGAAAACTTTGACTTGCTAATGCAATTTTATTCAACTTATTTTTTCTGTTTATTACTTATTCTTATTATAATCAGATCAGATCATACCAGATCAAACCACACTAGACCAGATAAGACTAGATCAGATCAGAAACAACTTTGATTATAACTGCAATCAGACCAGATCAGATTAGACCAAATCAGATTAGACCAGATCAGATCTTCAAAAAGGCAGATCAGGCAAACGAAATACAGCCGAACACTCTAACTCTTAGCTTTGCATCAATTTTATCCATACATTTTCACTTACCTGAAATTTTGTGCCAAGTCAAAGCGAGAGTTTTTTTGGATCGAGGGAGTATATACTCCGTATATATGTATTTTTTTACAGCAGAGACTATATTTATTTATAAGGGTAAAGCTATTTGTATCCCATTTTGTACACCGCAGGGATGCACCAACACTTTGTGTTTGTGTAATTCTAATTTTTGTTAATACACTAAGTGTAAATTTTTATTAACGTACTAACACTTTATGTCAATGTAAACTATCAAAATATTAATATATACTTTTGATGTACAAATGAGATATTACGTACAAATTTTGGATTATGTGGTTTCATTTATAAAAATGATTATTTATAGATCGATGTTGTTATTTATAGATTGACGGGGGCGATGATGGGATGTGTTCACACTTGAGCGTGAAAGCAAAAGAGAGAAAACATGGGGTCTCTCTCGTTGCCCGACTTCCCGGCGAAGCAAGAATCCACGGATATTGATCCGACCAATTTGATGAACCTCTTCAAAGCTCAGCAGAAATACCTCAACCATTTCTTCCAGAACCTCGATCTCTCCCAGACGCTCACCTTCGCCCACACCCTCCTTAATGCCAAGGGCACCATTATCTTCACCGGCGTCGGAAAATCCGGATTCGTCGCCCAGAAGATCTCTCAGACTCTGGTCTCTCTTGGTATTAAGTCTGGGGTTTTGTCCCCTCTGGACGCGCTCCACGGAGATATTGGCGTTTTGGCTCCCGGGGATCTGCTCGTGATGTTCAGCAAGAGCGGGAACACAGAGGAGTTGATTAGGCTCGTTCCGTGCGCGAAGGCTAAAGGGGTGTTTTTGATCTCCGTGACCTCAGTGAAGCCCAATTCCTTGATGGGTTTCTGCGATCTCAACGTGCATTTGCCTCTGGAGAGAGAATTGTGCCCTTTTGATTTGGCTCCTGTAACGTCTACAGCCATCCAGATGGTGTTCGGAGACACAGTGGCGATTGCCTTGATGGCCGCCAGGAACATGAGCCGGGACGACTATGCTGCCAACCACCCCGCTGGCAGAATCGGGAAGAGCTTGATCTTCAAGGTGAGGGAACCAAAATTGCTTAAGGTGGAACAAAATTGTATTGTATTTTTGTTATCAGAAATGCATTGTGATCATGTGATGTGCCCATTTCGTTTTTTTGAAGGTTAATCTTTGTACCTAATTAATGCATTTTATATATTTATTTAGTTATTTATTTTTGCGCTTGATGTCATTTTAACAAAAAACAGGTAAAATAATGAAGTCTATTCATCACTTTCCAATCACAGCCGTTTTCAGTTGTATTCATTGGGAAGATTCTTCTTTCCTTTTTTTGCTTTAGAGAGTATTTTGTTCATGTTTTATAAGGAAATAATTATCAAATTTGCACCACTTGCTAGCCTGTTTGGATTCCTTTTTTGTGTGTGTTCAGTGTTGGGAATCTTTTCTGTCTATGGAAGATATAAGCATACATTTTGAATATGAAACACTTTTAATTCTTGAGGAATTACCCAAACCCCAGAGTACGAGGTTAAGCATCTCTGTGTATCAATATAAATGAAAATCAAGATCTGAGAAACTTGACTTGCTAACAGGTAAAGGATGTAATGAAGAAGAATGAAGAACTTCCAATTTGTAAGGAAGGTGATCTCATTATGGACCAGTTAGTAGAGTTGACTAGTAAAGGATGCGGATGCCTCCTTGTTATCGATTGTGATTATCATCTGCAAGGAACGTTCACTGATGGCGACTTGCGGCGCACACTGAAAGCTAGTGGTGAAGGGATCTTTAAACTCACAGTGGGCGAGATGTGTAACAGGTAATCTCTTAAATATGCTTATACAGAGCATTACTGAAGTTATATTTGAAGGTAATATACCATGTGATATTTAAATGGAAGGCTTCTGCTAATAAATGAAAAAATAAGGTCCCTGATAATATGAAGTTTAAATCTCTTGTCTTACTTTTCTTGTCTCATTTGCATGCCACTCTGTTGAATTGTTTGATGCCTATTAGTTGACTAATATGGTCAAAGCAGTTTAATTACTTAATATGGAATAATGGAAATATGAAACAGCCAATGAGGATGAGTGACCCAACAGTGTGACTTGAAAAGTAGAACAAAAAATTTTAATTTCTACACTATGGGCCTCTTTTGTATATTGATATATCTGTATGGCTAGGTTGAATTGATTCCAATATTTTATGAACCAATCAACCAATAATGAAAGAATGAGTGTATAGTCTGTTTTAAAATAGAAAGGTAGCATTTACACTCAATAGATAAAGGTAGTTAAGTGGTTAAATTTGGCAAGCTTGTGATAGTATCAAATCCCAATCAAGAAGACAAGAAGAAAAGAAAGGAGCAGAAGAGTTGGGGATAATTGTCTGATATCTATTATTCCTCCAAAGGTAACAATGCAGGGATAAATAGCTACATGAGAATAACCACCCACTATTCCATAGATCCACTACATGCATGACCTATTCTTATGCAATAAATAAGGAACAACTTGCCCCCTTAGCTAGATGTGCGGACTTATATAATAATAATAACATGCAAGAAAACTAATGCAAAGTAAATAAACGACACATCATCATGTCATGCCTCCTCTTCTCTTCGTGCCTCCCATGCACCTTGGTGTTGATGAGCACATATCGTTCCTCCCCCTTAAGGCACCTTGCCCACAAGGTGAGAAATCAGGATACGTTCTCCGAAAATGCCACTCATTTTCTTACGTGGCATCGTCGCGGGTTCCACCCTTCCATTGAACTAGAATTTCCTTCCGTGGACGGTACTTACCTTTTTGTATGACACGGCGGTCAAGAATAAGCTCCGTCTGAGGGGTCCATGACACACAGTCAGAAACAGTTGGTGGGGTCGCAGTTGTGGTTGGAAGACTTCCCGTGTGGAGCTTGAGCTTACTTACATGAAACACATTATGAACTTGAGACCCCTCCGGTAACTGTAGTTCATATGCAACAGACCCAATACGACGGAGGACTTTGTACGGTCCAAAGAAACGGGGGGCAAGCTTTTGAGAGTTTCGGCGAGCAACAGTAGTTTGTCGGTGCGGTTGGAGTTTTAGGTAGACATAATCGCCCACTGAAAATGAAACATCCCGACAATGTTTATCAGCTTGCAATTTCATGGAATTCTGGGCTTGGTGTAAATTAATCTTCAAATCATGCAAGAGAACTGAGCAATCTTTGAGGTACTGATCAACAGCTTCAACATTGGTTGTGCCTGATTCATACGGAAAAAGGTGTGGTGGTGGAATCCCGTAGACAGCCTCAAAAGGAGAAATCTTAGTAGCCGAATGAGTAGATGTGTTGTAGCTGTATTCACCCCAAGGTAACCAATCAACCCACGCCTTCTGTTGGTCACCTCAAAGCACCGGAGATACTGCTCTAATGTCCTGTTAACAACCTCGGTTTGGCCGTCGGTCTCCGGATGGCAATTGGAATTGAGGTTGAGAGATGTGCGTTGTAGTTTAAAGAGTGTTTGCCAAAAGGTGCTGAGAAAGAGCCGGTTGCGATCACTCACAATGGACTGTGGAATCCCATGTAGGCGCACAACTTGCTGCACAGAAACCTTGGCTACTGACGCGACATTGTATGGATGTCGTATGGCAACAAAATGGGCATATTTTGAGAGACGGTCAACTACAATCAAAATGACTGAATACCCATGCCAGGCCGGTAACCCTTCGACCAAATCCATCGAAATATCAGTCCAAATGCGTTCGGGAATGGGCAAGGGCTGAAGGAGACCGGCCAGTTGCATGGTGTCTGATTTGTAACGCTGACAAACCACACAATTCCGAATATGAGTGCAAACTGATTCACGCATTCCAGGCCAAAAGAAGGCTTGGCGAATCTGTGCGAGTGTCCTATGGAAGCCAAAATGGCCGCCGATGGAAGAAGCATGACAATCATGTAGAATATCTTTGATCAATCCGGATATCGGGCTCAATAGGCCCTTCCTTTGTAGAAATAAACACCATCTCTGATTTGGAATTTTGAGTCCCCTGTGGAGGATGTCAATCTAATGTAAAATAAGTTTGAACTTCCTCTTGAACCCTTTGCCACCAATCAGATTGCAAGTAGGATATATCCACTACAAGAAAGTTGCTATTTTGCTGCACTGAAAAGTGTTGTTTGCCACACTTATAAATGTGGGAGAAAGAATTTTTCACACATGAACTAAGTGCGGCTACGTAGATGTGGGGAAATTTTTTGCCGCACTTTTGGACTAGTGCGTCTAATGGATACATTAGCCACACTTATATATGTGGTTAATGTTTTGTTTTGCCACATTTATATGTGTTTTTTTAAAAACACATATATAAATATACTAACATTTTAAAATATTTTTAATTCATAAAAAGCCCATGTGGGACTCGAACCCATATATTTGTGAACTTTTGCACACGACACTCTAGCATTGAGTTAATAGGCTAAGACAATAGTTCAAATAGTATAACAATACTATTATTTTTACAAAGCATGTCAAAAAAAGTTGAAGAAGTCTATAGAGATGACTATTTTTATCAAATGAGTAACGATAATAACAAAGAAAATTTAAAAAGTTTGACCATGTGAATAGTGATCGGAAACTTCACTTTGAGATAGAGAGAGTAGTGCATTTGTGAATCAGGATGGGAATATACTTGCGAGAGCATCTAATGATAAGTATGAATACATGTAATTTTTTTTTGAAAAGAATAGTACAGGTAACTTGACTGACCTGGAGTTCATTTGCTTAGATGATTAGTCCCTACGAATACAGGCTAAATAGAAGCAAAACCGTTGGCATATTAATATTTGTTCCACATTTTAGATGCAATAGAGTCACACAAATGGGAAGCCTATTTCAAATGTTCTAATTGAAATTATATATGCAGCATCTGAGTCTTCTGCCTCCATAGAAATTTCCTATTGCTGTTTTGTATCAAAATGTGGCATAGGGTCCTCTAGTAGCAATCCCACTTCAAAATAAAGCCGTAGATAGACCACCTCAACTCATGCAGTGCCAGAAATCTAACCCAAAAATATCCCAAGGTATCTTAACCACCTTGATGCAATAAAGCCGAAAGACTATATACATTAGCCTAGATAATAAAGATATATATTTACACAAATAACTTGAAAGTAATAAATCATGAAGGTAATATATTTTTTCCTTGATTTTATAGGTAGCCAAAATGTCAATAGTGATTTCAAGTGTCCTTTTACCAACAGAACTTCAGAACCACCTAAAAACATCATGGGACAGGGGAGGATAACATTAGCATAAGCATAGGTAATAACAATAATTGATATTTTACTAAAGTATTAAGGTGTATTAATATTAAAAGTAGGAGTATTTTACCTTCGTGTAAAGGGGTTCATACTTCTTCTGGTATTTAGCTTCAAATGTTGCCCTTTAAAAAAACATGGCCTAGTTCATTATGCTTGTTCTGCAAAAGATTTAGTACCACTATGAAATAGAATACTTACAACTATGATTGAGACATTTGGATTTTGGATCATTGGTGAGTCATGTACACTTCCAGGACAGGGTTACAATTATCCTTCACAATAGAAACTTTCACTTTCTGCAATAGAGACTTTACACAATTAGAAACCATTACAAAAACTTCTTTTATGTCAACATGATCCGACCGTGCTTAAATACACAGCAACATCTGTGTGAAGTTAACAACGCAAAGCATCTCAAAGCCACATATCAAAAACATCACAACCATCAATATCTAACTAAAAGAGAACCCTATGGAACCTCCAAAGTAGAAGTAAAGCTCACTGCTGTCCTTAAGTAGTCTATGGTTTTAGGCAGTCTTGAGGTTAGCCAAATTTAAAAGAACTGTTTTAACTTATTCTTAACTGATTAAATTTATGTTATTATCTGATGACCATAACCTTATGTTTGGTTCTAGGAATTTGACATGGAAAAGAAAAGAAAGATGGGGAAAATATTTTTTCGTGTTTGGTTAGAGCAAAAAATAAGAAAAGCAGAAGAGAAAAAATGAGAGGAAAAAGAGACTTAAAAGGGAAGAAAGAAATTTCCTTTTAACTTGGCGAGGAAAACGAGAGAAACCTTTTTGCTTTCCATTCCCTTCCGAATTCCTTGAACCAAACATAGGATTAAGATAATATTGGGCCTGTCCACGAGACTACTCTTGCAAGAACTAGATTTTGATGTGCAGACTTATTATGTTAATCCGAGCGTAGAAAGCATCATGTTTCTAGAATTTTTCATGTCAAAGAGCATTAGTTATTGCACTGGAATTGATCACTCGCAAGATGGATATTAATGGCTTCTGGTTTTCCTAATCAGTCGGCCCCTTCATGTGTGTTTTGGACTGTTAGGCTTTCACATGATTATACTGCCCCTATAGACGCATAACAGTTTGCTTTGTTAAAATCTGACTTTGCATAAAGCCAATCTTTGATCTCTCACAAGATGGTTCTTAATGGTTTCTGATTTACGTGACCAGTAATTCAGTATGCCCTTTCAAGTGCATTTTTGATTGTTAGGTTTACACATTATAGCATTGCGTTTCTTATAGCAGATCAGTTTTTTAAAAAATATGACTTCCTGTAGAGCCGCAGACATAAAAGTCAATCTGTAATTCAACTTTTGCAGAAAACCAAGAACAATTGGCCCCGATGCAATGGCAGTTGAAGCAATGCAGAAAATGGAATCCGCACCATCCCCTGTTCAATTTTTGCCTGTTGTGAATGATGAGAATGTATTGATTGGCATTGTCACCTTACACGGGCTAGTCTCAGCTGGTTTGTGAGAGTTTTGGGATTCGTCCTCTATAGTGTTCGTCACTACGGGCATCAGATATATGTTGTATTTAGGGTCCTCATTATACGTTGGGTGGGATGGAGGGAGAATTCTTGTAGTATCGGTTGTTCGATTGGCCCCTTGGATTCACAAATGAGGGACGATTGATGTAACCAGTGAGAGGGCTCCATTGTCTTGTGTAAAGCTTTTTTCCTTTTGTGTTTGTGTATGTGTTTGAATACAAACAATTTTTTTTCAATCATGCTTGGGATACTCTAAAAAGTGTACTCCAAATTGTATCCTAAAGAGATACACCAGTATTTTAACATCTCATACTGGCACAAAATGTTAGTTCAATAAAAAAAAATGTGCTAACATTTGGTGTTTTTGTAAATTATCACTCTAGCATAACACTCTCCATTGTCTTGTGTAAAGCTTTTTGCCTTGTGTTTGTGTATGTGTTTGAGTACAAACAAATTTTTTCCAGTCATGCTAGGGATATCCTAAAAAGTGTACCACAAATTATATTCCAAAGAGATGCTCCAGCATTTTAATAAATCATACTGACACAAAATGTTAGTTAATCAGAAAAATTTGCATTAACATTTGGTGTTTATTGTAAAACATCACTCTAGCGTAACACTAGCACAAAATGTTAGTGTATGCCTTCATCGTACAAAAAGTGAGATATAATATTAGGTGTACAAATATCATTTCCCATTTTTTTCAATTCTTATTTAACCTGCTTCTTGTCTCATTTTACATAAGACTAATTTGATTAGATACACTTTTTAAACGAGTGAAAGATGTGATTAATAATATTTTTTTGTAAGAATGTGATTAATATTCATTTAGAGGACACATAAACAATATGAACCGTGTGTTATATTTTTAGGAATTGTATAATTTTATTGTACGTGTATTATATATATATATATATATATATATATATATATATATATATATATATATATATATATATATATATATATATATATATAT